AGAAAAATGGCAGTGTCAGTGGGAGAATAGAAGACTTTTCCTGAAACACGTATCATTTACAAAATAGATTCATATATTCTCAGCACTGTTGAACATAACATTTTTAAAAAGTCATCCCCTCAACCATCCCCATAGGAGATTGTTAAGCCTGAGGTAGAGTGAGGAGTTAATTCTGATTCTGAAAGTGAATGTATTTCAGGACGCCCAGGTATTCGGGAGTAAAACCATTTATTTTAGTGAGACCTGTTTTGTTACTTACAGCTGCACATTACTGCCTTTGAAAGGAAGTAAAAGATTCTCCTTCTTTCTCTCTGGGTTTTGCATTTCAGTCTCGTCTCATTCATAAATACACCCTTTCTCCCTCTCTGGGCCAGTTTAGGGTCCTATGCCTTCCTGGGAAGATTCATTTGTATTTTACACGCACAAGGAGCTGTGGTTTGGGATTCAATTCTTTTTCCACTAGAGGAAGCTGTTGAGGTGGCGAGGTGGCTGGGTGGGGAGGGGAGCCCATTCATTGCCTGCACTTCTCTGCCTAGATAAAGCTAAGTCTTCTAAAGTCAACACGATAATTATGTTCTGCATTGGTGGCGGTATCCTGGTGGCCATTCTTGTGCTGATGGGTGTTGTCATCTGTCTTTACTACAAAATATCCGACGCTTTGAAGTGAGTGATGTGGGTAAGAGTGAAAAATAACCCCTCAAATAGGATACCTGGGGCTCTCTGCTTGAGCAAGGTCATTCCTTGCCCTGTGCCTGCACCCAGAGTGAGGTCAGGAACAGCAGGTAGGTTTGAAAAGGTAAAAGCAGGTGAGTGTAGAATCTTGGTTTTTTTCCCCTTCTGGCTTGGGGCTGTGAGCTCATAAGTAGAATGTTCTCAGCTGGGTGGCTCCGTGCTGCTTTGCTCCACTTACCCTCCCAGAGTGGACCCCCAGCTGGTTTACTCAGCACACTGGCTGGGCCCTCCCTCCGTCCCAAGCACTGCAGACCGTGGGGGAGCCTGTGAATGAGTCTGTGCCTCGGATTCACTCAGAGGACAGGCTGACTGGATCTCCTCTTAGCTGAGTTGGGGAGCTCTCACGGTGTTCTCTCATTCACTGTGCATGGCCTTGGGGACAGGGAGGTGGGCCTGTGGGACTACGGGGAAGCTGAGCTGTGTGAAGATCCTGGGGGACACCTGACAAGGGAGTATAGAAAAAAGATAATTAACTTTGGGGGAGAGGAACCTTCAAATCTGGGAGAGATGGGTCGTTAGAAGCAGTGCTGTTCCCATGCTAGGGAAGTTAAGCCTGTGAGCTAGAAGATGAATCCCAGAACGTGGGGGACGGCCAAGTGTGGTCCCTTCCTGGTCACGCTGTGCACTTGATGGGCCTGCAGCGATCAGCTGGGTGATCCACACTTGCAGTTTGCTTTCCCTTGTTTGCTGTAACCTGATTCTCCATTTCTAGCGTCCTAGGAGAGGAAGCGATTAGATAGGAGCTTGGGACAGGGCAGAGAGCTCTAGTTTCGGGCTGCTGTTATGTATTTGATTGGCTCTAGGCCTAAACTTCACAGATACCCCTGATAATTGTGACCAGTGGACTGAGAAGAAAAATTCTAATCCCATGCTTTGTGTATGTCTTTTCTTAAGACCTTCAAAGGCACCTCTTTGTTTGGCCTTAAAGAATAATCCAGCCATGCTCACTCAGGACAAGGTCGCCGCGACTGCAGCCCTCACCACTGGGTCCTATCCCAACGTCCAGTGCTGTGACGAATGTAGCCTGTATGCTGACTATGGCCCCCTGCCACCGTGCTTCTGCGACGTAAACGAGGGACTCTGACTTGGGTGGGCACAAATGTCTTCATGTGCAGTATTTCTTTTTTAGTAGAATTATTATTCAAGTCAAGTTTTATAGTGTTTACATTCTGTATTATAGAACATATTTATGTGCTTATGTGAATAAATGCAATACTGAAAATAATCTGCCGCCAGTGTGTGCTAATGTTAGTTGTAAATGCACTTAAATGTGTGTAGTAGTCACTTTGGGACTTGGGGCACCTATCTTGTAATATTATGTTGCAATATGGGGAGAGTTAGAGTAGAAAATAAAAGCATCCAGTACATCACCAATCTCAGAAGAAAAATATATATTGACCTTAGAGCATTTCCAGTTTCAGACTCATCAGAAATTCCCAAGCTGGACGAGTTCACTTGGCTCTTCTCCTTGTGAGGGCTTCCTTCCCTGGCCTCTAGCTACTCTACTTGCAGACAATTAGGTCACACTGTCCTGAAGGAGAACTCCTGTCATCCTAGAGCGAGCACAGACAAATGGGACATCTCTGGGTTTAGTGTGACCTTAGATGATGGGGTTGAACCCGATGGTGTCTAAAAGACATTTCGAAAAACCTGAGATTCTTCCTTCTGCCATTCTCCAAGTCTTCAGAAGCAGATTTCCTCCTTTTTAGATCATTTTAACATGGGTTTTGCTGATTCAGCTGCCAGTGCCTTTAAGTGCTAACAGGAATCTCCAGCTGAATGCCAAAGCCCAGGATTCTCTTGATCTGAGCAGTAGGCAGTAGGATGTACTTCTCTCCACTTCTGCTCATCAGCCCCCTTCTGTTCCTGCTCTTTCTACTGAGCCTTCTGGACCCCCTTTTATTCACAGACTCCCCATCTGCAACCACAGTTTGTACTTTGTCTTGTTAACAAAACCCTTGCTTTGTGAGCATCACATGTTGTACTTAATATAAAGAGTTAACTAGTAACAGGTGGTTAGCTACTAAAAGGGGAGAAAAAGGATAACAGGAATAAATGAAGGAAACAGCTTTTATCTCTAGGCTGAGGGGAGTGAAGAGTGACGCAATGAGCAGTTTCAGTTCTCTCCGCAGAGGGCTTGGCCGCTGAGGGCAGTTTTAGCACCTGAGTGGTGGAGAAATTTGCCAGGAGTGTGGGAGCTGGAGCTGCTCTCACAGAGCAGCCCTTGGAATGGCCGAGAAAATCCATGGCGGCTGAGTGCCCTCCAGCCCCAGTATGAGTTTCAGGAGGCAAATTCAAGGCTGCATCTTCCCCGGATCCTGCCCTGAGACCTTCCGTCTGGAAGTGACCTGTCCCTCTTGAGTTCCTGAAGCATTTTGTCTGCCTCTGCCGTCTCCTGCTCTGGCCTTGTCTTCGGTGTTCACGTGCGCTTCGAGTCTCTCCTTGCCAGCGAGTTCCCATCTCCCTCTGGCCCTCACCCAGTGGGCAGCACCGTGCCCAGGACCCTGGAGGCCCTGTGCAAGCATGTTCTGTACAGGAATTCCACAGGGACTATGCCTGAAGTTCAGGTATCCCAGGGTCCATGAAGGAGGCAGGATGGGGCAAGGGCTCTTAGAGACATCCCTCTCACAGGCAGTAGGGACAGTGTGTAACATGGCTTTCAGAACCAGATAAACTTGATTCCAATCCAACTCTGCCTTTCATTAGCTATGTGCCAGTGGGGGAGTTTCTTAACCTCTCTGAGCCTCATTTTCCTTGATGTGAGCTGAGGGCTTGCATAGGTGACGGTGAGGATTAAGCAAGATAAGGTATACCGGCCCCACAGGCCCTGGCATCCTGTGATCTCATGGTAAGTTGTCCCTGGGCTGACCTGCTTGTCTCCTGGTTTCTAACCCAGGGTTCTTTGCCCTCTGCTAGTCCCCCTCCCAGGAGAGTAATCACAGAGCTCTTACACCAGTGGTGGTGGCTCAGGGAGCTAGGAGATCACATCCATCGGAGATCACATCCATAGGAGATCACATCCATAGGAGATAGGGAGAGGGCTTCAGTAAGAAAGTGGGGGTAGGATGGGGGTCTGTGGGCACAGCTGAGGGTGAGCAGCCCTTAGTAATCAGAAGGGTCCCTACCCTATACTTCTGCCCCTTGCTCACTCTCACCTGGTACGTGGCCAGCCCCAGAAGTCTCTGAGCTGACAGGAACCGAGTGGAGCGGTGCCAGGTACCTTGGTGAGTGTCCAAGCTCCTTGTGAGCACAACTTCCCAATGTCGCAGGTGCTGGCCTTGCCGCTGTGGTTACTGGTATGAAGCCAAATGCCTGATCCAGGGGCCTGACTGGGAATAGTCCTCCTGGGTCACAGCCCTGCCCGGGAACCCAAGTGCCCTAGAGCCAAGTAAGGGTTTCTGGGCAGCAGGACAGAAAGACATGGAAAGTTGAGGGCACCCAGGAAGGGTTTTAAGGTAGAAGTTCAGTCTATGGCTACCATTATTACCTCCACAGAGCTGCTGTGAAGATCCTTAAATATTGGCCACCATTTTCCATCAAAGTTCCATCAAACTTAGAATAAAATCCAAATGCCTCATCTGACCTACAGGTACTTCACAATTGGATCATTACCTGCCTCTCCTCACCTTACATCCCACTTCCCTCCCCTTTACTCACATCCACCACACTGGCCTGCCTTCCCTTACTTTGTAGACATGCCCAACTGATTCCTGCCTCAGGGCCTTTGCACTTGCCCATTCTTTTGCCTAAAATGCATCTCCTAAGCCCAGATCACAATTGAATGCCTCTCTTTTTCTGTTTGCTCAAATTTCATCTTTCTCAATTTCACCCTAATATTGCATCCCCCCTGAAATCTATCCCATCACCCTGTTTCCTTTTATATTCATAGTACCTATCACGATTTGTAATTTATTTCAGTTTGTTTGCTCTCTGTCTCCTCCACTTAGAGAGTAAGTTCCATGGGGACAAGGACTGTTTTTCTCATGTTCAATTCCAAATCCCCAGACTGTATAACAGTAACTAACAAAAAAAAATTTTTTTTTAAAGATTTTATTTATTTATTTGACAGAGACAGAGAGGGAACACAAGCAGGGGGAGTGGGAGAGGGAGAAGCAGGGAGCCCGATGCGGGGCTCGATCCCAGGACCCTGGGATCATGACCTGAGCCGAAGGCAGATGCTTAACGACTGAGCCACCCAGGCACCCCTAACAAATATTTTTGAATAAATGAATGAGTGAAACAGTCCCATATAAAAGCTTCTTGTGAGTATGACTTACTGATGTCACAGGTGCTGGCCTTGCCACTGCAGCACCAGGCTCACCTTGGACACCAGGATTCCTTTCTGTCATCTGTAAAACACAGTGCCTAGGGGCCTTTAATTCGCCTGCTCCAGGCTCTCTGGGCATAATGGTTTGAATTCCTGGAAGCTGAACCCACGCTTGTACTTTCTTTTTCCTCGCCATCCTGGGCCACCTCCTTCTCTCCCTCAGTCTCAGCACCCTGGCAGGCATCAGAGTGACCTACCTGGACCCACAGTGTGCCCAGGTGCCACCTCTCTCCCCAGCTGATCGTTTGACTGTAATTTTTAGAGAAGAGCAGTGAAGGCTTAAGATAGCAGTAGCGCTACCCGCTTCGTGATCTGCATAAACGAGGGCCAAGGCTCAACTCCAGGTCGGTGCCCGGAAGAATTACTCGGTGCTTACTGTGTGCCACGTGTTGGAGATCCCCTAGGAAGAGCTTTACTTGGCAACTTCCCGTAAACGTCCCAGGGATGAGCTGGGGAGAGCGAACACTCACTGTTTGGGATTGCTGATAATAAATCAGCCGCACAGCTGCTCTCTTCTCACGTACGTCTGGCCCTTGCATGGTCAAACTGACACTCCCTGAAGGTCTCCAGAAGGCTCTGAAGCCAGATATGGAGCCCTGGGAAGTATAAAGCCTGCTCACCCTTCAGGCTGTTCTTCCCTTGACAACGATGGAGGCTGTGAGAAGGCTCGTCCTCTTGGTCCTTTTAATTGTGCCATGTTTGGCAGAGTTGAATTGGACCAAGTCTGAAGGTAAGAACATTGAACCCATTGTTTCCTAACGAAATAGGGAGACCTCCTTTCAAGAGGTCTCTGCCGAAAGTTTTTAAAGTTTTAATATCTGCTAATAGCCTTAATACAGGGAACATTTATTTATATGCTCTTCATGTGATTTTGAATTAGTACCAAGGTTTATTCAGGCCTATATGACAATATACATAAAAATGTAAAAGGATAAAGAATTTTACTGATTTTACTACTGAGAATTAAATATTTAGGAGATAATTATAAAAGTGCACACAAACACACTGTGCATTTACATAATTGTAAGAAGCAATGTAAATTTCCCTCATTTATTCTGTAAGTTGTAAAGACATACAAAGGTATATACTTTGGCGCTTTCTTACAAATCATAAGAAAGGTACCCAGGATCTACTTTAAGAGAAAAAACAACTACCTGAAATTTATTTTTGTTTAAAATACATACATTGGAGCATCTTTAAAAATCTGGAAGTAGACGAGAAAAGGAAAGGTCCTGGAAGTTTTTACAAGAAGTTTTTAATGGTGATTTTTTTCCCTGGATGGGTGGGATTATACTTTTTTCTTTGTCTTTGCTTTCTGATATTTTTTACTAATAAACATAATAGTAGTTATTGTTAGGGGAAAACAAATAAGAGACTATTGTTATAAGGACGTCACCTATCACTCACAGATAAAAAGGAAAATGAAAAGCTTTTTGTTTCTAAGTGGAGTTTTTAACCATTCATTGGGTTCCAATTATGAAGTATTTGATTTTCTTGTTCACATTCCGTTACAGCTGCCACTGCTTCTCCTCCCTCCTCCTCCTTTTCTTTTAGTAACAGCTTTATTAGGATATAATTCACATACCATAAAATCCACTCTTCTAAAATGTAAAATTTACTGGTTTTTAGTACACACACAGATTTTGCAACCATCACCATTATTTAATTTGAGAACATTTTCATCACCCCGCAAAAAGAAACTCCATACCCATTAGCAGTTACTCCCCATTTTTCCCAATGCTCTCAGCCCAAGGCAACTACTAATCTACTTTCTGTCTCTATAGATTTCCCTAAAGTGGACATTTCATATGAATGGAATCCTATAACCTGCGGTCTTTCACTCAGCACAGTATTTACAAAGCTCATCCACGCTGTTCCATACATCAGTACCCCATTCCTTTTCATTACTGGATCCTCCTGCATTGTATGGACAGACCCTATTTTATGTGCCTTCATCAGTTGGTGCCCATTTGGGTTGTTTCCCCTTGTTTGTTATTTGGCTAATGCTGCTGTAAATAAACATTAGTGTACATGTCTTCGTGGGAACATATGTTTTCCTTCCCTTTGGAGATATGCCTAGAAGTGGAACTGCTGGGTTATGGTAACTCCCTGTTGAATCTTTTGAGGAATTGTCAGATGATTTTCCTAGCAGCTGTCCCATTTTACCTTCCCTTGAGCATTGCAGGAGGGTTCCAGTTTCTCCACATCCTTGTCAACACTCATCTATTTCCTGTTTCTGACTCTAGTTTTGCTTCACATCCCAAATGGTATGAAGTCATATCTCACTGTGAATTGCATTTCCCCAATGGCTAATTATGTTGAGTATCTCTTCATGTGTTTAATGACCTTTATGTGTTCTTTGGAGAAATATCTATTTTTGTCATTTGTCTATTTTTTATTGAGTTGTCTTTTAATTGTTGAGTTATAAGAGTTCTTTATATATTGTAGATACAAAGCTTCTTTGTAAAACCATCTTTCTTTAAGCCCTAATATAGTCTTTATTTATTTATTTAATTTTTAAAAAAAGATTCTGTTTATTCATTTGACACAGAGAGAGAGAGAGAGAGAGAGCACAAGTAGGGGGAGTGGCAGGCAGAGAGAGAGGGAGAAGCCGGGTCCCCAGTGAACAAGGAGCCCTGATGGAGGACTCAATCCCAGGACCCTGGGATCATGACCTGAGCCGAAGGCAGACACTTAACCAAAAGACCCATCTAGGCACCCCTATAGTCTTTATTTTTTATGAACCATATATAGAGAAATAAATATTTTCTCCCCAAGGGCTCTAAGAGGGGGAAATCAATGGCTGGTGGCTTACTTTGGAATGAGCTAAATACCATCACAATTACGTGCATGCTTGTATGTGGGAAGTAGATGCCTAATCCCTGGAGGAGAAGGCCGGGGCAGCTGACTTTCCTCAATGTCAACTGTGGTCTCTCCCAGGCAAATCAAGCTGCCAGGCCAGCTTGGGAGGCTCCAGCCAATCAGATACCCACAGGGCCCTAATCCTGCAACTCAATCCCAACGAGGACTGTACCTGGACACTAGAAGGACCAGAAAACAAAAACATCAGAATCATCTTTTCCCATTTCCAGTAAGTAGTGGCTTTACTTTCTAATAAGGGTGGTTGAACTCTGGTCACACTAGGGAGTCTGTGTCAGAAAAACTCAGCTGGTCCTAGAGGTAATGGTAACTCCCATGACCACGATGATGATGATGATAATGGTTAATAGTCACTGACTGATGACTGGGCCCCTGGCTCTGGTCACAGAGGTCCTGGAGGTCGGTATAGTTATAGGCACAGGGAAGTGGAGAACTTGTCTCAGGTCACATGGTAAGTGGAATGACCAGCATTAGTACCCAACTAGTCTAGTTCCATTTGGAACAGGCCCTAAAACACTAAACTTATAGTCCCAGACTTTGCTATGTGTTCTAATCAGCAGGGGAGCTTCCCAAAACCCAGATTCCCAAGCTGAACACCATAGAATTAGATCAGGATCCCTGGGGGTGGGAACCAGGCCATTGGGTGTTTTTTCTTTAACTTGAAATCAATATCCACTCACCAATGTTTTCTCTGAGTGCCCAGGTCATGGCAGCGTGAGGCCAAGCTGAGCACAGGGCCCTGCACCAGGAGCCTCCCTCAGGGCTCCAGGAGAACTTCCTCAAACCTCTCAACAGCCCTCTGGGGTAGATGCAATCTAATCCCCACTCAGTGGGTAAGAAATCCCAGAGAAGTCACTTAATGTTCCCAAAGTCACAGACTAATACAGGTGGGAGAGAACTAGAATCCAAGCCACCTGGTTCCAGGGCCCAAAGTCTTACCCAATCCCCATGGTTCTAAAGCTGGAGAGTCTCAGAGCACCTGGGGGGAGGGTTTTGAGAAAGCAAAATTGCTGGGCCCTGGGCCCAGATTGCAATCCAGGTGGGGGCCCTACACCCTAGAAGGTGGAACGGACTTCTCTTTGGCCCCCACAGAAACAAAGGAGAAGGGGGACTTCCATATTTCCTAGACTGCTAGGGCTAAGAATCGTATATATTATTCTTGGTTTGTCGAGAAAGGCAGGACGGCAGCGTGGCAGAGTGAGGGAAGGGAGATGAGCAGTTCACATTTCTTAGATGCTCCCCACCCCCCCACACCAGATGAAGGCTGTGACATCCCCATTTACAGAAGAGAGAGTGAGCAAAGGAAATAGTAAATCACTTGTCCAAAGTTACACAGCAGGTAAGGGACTAAGGTGGAAGGAGAATTGGGGTTTGTCCACCCTCGTGTTTTCCCTCTAGGGCATCTTGGCCCTCTGTTGGGATTCTGAGGGCGTTTGGAGAGACCCTGTCAGAGTGGGCAGAAAACAGTCATCCTGGTCTGCCCTGTCCAGCGCAGGGCCTGGGACTGTCCTTACCAATGAGGACATGGGGATGGGAGGGAAGGAAGGGGCATCTGGGAAGATGCTAAATTTGCTTTACCCTGAGAGAGGGGGCCAGGGAAGAGTTGCTTCCCCTTTCAACAGCCTTGGGTTTCAAACCTCAAGGGGAATGAATTCTAAATAAGAAGATCTCACCTGACAATTTCCACTTGAGTATGAGGAACAGGAGAGATGGAAATGGAAGGAAAGGGGTCTTGGATTCCAGGCCCACCTCCCCCCCTCCCCCGACTTTATAGAAATGTTGGCAAAGCAGTTCAGTCCCCTGAGGCATTTATAGATTGATGGTGTGTGGTTTGATGTTGAGGAAGGTGGGGGTGGCTAGTCTTGGAGAGGTTGGAATGAAAACAGATATGCCACTGCACTGGAAACTGGGATGCCAGTGTGAACAGTTGACACTCTGAACCCCCCTTGCCTGGTGGCTCGTCTCTAACCACAGTGTGTTCTGTTCGCAGGCTTGATCCTGATGGAAGGTGTGAAAGTGAATACATTAAAGTTTTTGATGGAAACTCTACCAAGGGGTCTCTGCTAGGGCAAGTCTGCAGTAAACATGACTACATTCCTGTTTTTGAATCATCCAATTCATTAACGGTTCAAATCATCACCGACTCTGTAAGAGTTCAAAGAACTGTGTTCATCTTCTACTACTTCTTCCCTTCTGGCACCTGTGAGTTCTCATTTATACATCCTATGCACACACCACTTACGAGCATGGAAGGTTACACACTCTCCTGCGTGGGTTGTTATAACCTCGAGTCTGAGCTCTCTGTTTGTGAGAGCACAGGTTCTCTAGTTCGTGTACGTGAGAATTGCCTGGAGAGCTTGTGAAATCAGATTCCTGCCCCCTGCCCCCTCCCCCTGAGACTCCGCTTCACTGGTTCTGGGATGGAGCCCACGAATTTGCCTTTCTAACCAGCTCCTGGTGAGGTAGATGGAAGGGGCTGATCAGATGGCTACACGTTGGGGTGTACTGTGTTACAGACCAAAGCAGACTCTCTGAGTTTGGCCTGTTTTAGAATAACCCTGAGATCCTTTGAAATGCCCACTCGGGGCCGCTCCTCCCTCTGGTCTGATTCAGAAGATCTGCGTTGGGGCTCGAGAAACCTTCACGTCTGACAAGTTCCCCAAGTGACTGACAAAGATTGGAGAGCAGATGATGAGAAATGCTGACCTAACTTGTCAGGCAATCAGACGTTACCCGGGTTCTGCATTCCCAGCACCCAGATTCCACTGCAACGCAAAGCAGAATGCCAAGAAATTCCGCAAGTGGGTTCGTGAGCAAAGCTCCACGCTGGTTTGCTTTCTGAGGCCCAGAGCTGACTGTGTCACTCTCCTCTTAAACCACACAAATCTCCAGAGTGGAGCAGTCACGGTTTTCCAAAGCCAGACCCAGGCCACCTTTTCAGGCCTTACCTCTGGCCACTACCTGACATGCATCCTATGCTTTAGCCGACCTCGACTGTTTTACATGCCCCGAAAGCGAGCCTTCAGTGTTGCTTGTCTGTTTCTCCCATCCAGCTGCTTGCTTCCCGACTGGGGGAGGGAGGGACCCAGGATGGCTTCATGTTGGCTGCATCTGAGCTGACTTGGAACGATAGCGTAGGGTAGGGAGAGGTGAGACCCACAGGAGGAGGACTCCCGTCTGCTGGAACCAACAGTCTGAGGAGCTGCGGGAAGAAAGGACATGTTAGAACAGCAGGTCACGTGGAGGTGGCTGATGAGGCTGGAAAGCTGGGCTGGGGCCAAGTGAGGAAGAGCCTCCAATGACAGTCCTAAATGATGTCTTTTTCTGTGGCTTAGTCCAGGTGACGGAGGGTCTCTAAAACTGGGACAGATCTTACAGGGTCACTCTGCCCTGCACCAGTGGTCAGAAAATCCAGTGATAAAGAAGGGTGAAAATCTCAATATGCTACCAATTCGAAAGAGGGCAATGGAACAAAATTTGGGTGGCGGTGGGGGATTGCTTATTAAGCTCAGTGCACAGCACGGAAACTAAATGAAGTCTCTCTTGATTTACATTCTTGGTCACCCTCACATCCCTTTCAGCTATTCCAAACTGTGGTGATTACTTGGACTCCTTAGAAGGATCTTTCACCAGCCCCAATTACCCAAACCCACATCCTAAGCTGGCTTATTGCATATGGCACATCCAAGTGGAGAAAGGTTACAAGATAAAATTAAACTTCAGAGACATTTTGTAAGTACTGTGGTCCATTTCTGCTGTTGGAGAAATGCAGGGAGCCCACCTGGGAATGGGGAAACCTGGGGAAGAGAAATTATGTGAACCTCCTCATAGATGGCCACTTTTCACAGAATTGGTGTATAGAGAAAACACTAATACTAGTGCATTGAACTAAGCTGTCGATTTTTCTGAAGATTCTGAGGTCACATCAGGGACTGGCAAAGCCCCAAGTTTGTCCTAATCTTGAGATAGCATCGTGGGGAAAAATCTTTAATCACTTAAGACTGGGATTGCTGAGAATTGAATTGGTTTGGAAAGCTTTTTCACCAGAGGCCCTACTTCTCTAGCTTAGAAGCGGACGAACACTGCAGATTTGATTTCATTGCCGTCTATGATGGTCCCTCCACCACCACTGGCCTGATTGGACAAGTGTGTGGCCATGTGAGGCCCACCTTCGAATCCTCGTCAGACTCATTGACCGTGGTGCTATCGACAGATTACGCCAACTCCTACCGGGGCTTTTCTGCTTCCTACACTTCAATTTATGCAGAAAATATCAACACTAGTAAGTCATGTTCCTTAGCTATTTTGAGCTCTCTGAAGATTGTGTCCATAGAAACTGCTCCTTGATTCTTAGCCTACCTGTGGCTATCCCTATTTGCAAGCCTGTCGTATATACTTTGGAACATATATTCATAATCTGAAGCTGGAGAATCAGTTCTGTGCATTGCTTAGTACGAGAGGAAATTAATGGTTTTATTAACTGGAAAAAGATTTCTGTAGAAAATAGGGACCGTTTTCTGTAATGCCTTCTGTAAAGGCACTATTAAATATAATAGATTTACAGATTCAAGTTGCAGACAAGGTCACAGTGAACATTGTAGAAGGTGAATCAACTGCTCTGCTGTCTCAGGCTTCTGATTACGGTTCAAAGCAAAAAGGGTTTTGAGTTTTTATATAGTCTTCTGTACACATAGCTTTTCAAGATCCAAAGTTCCTAGCTGACATAAACATAATCATCCTCTTTTTTTTTTTTCTGAACAGCATCTTTAACCTGCTCCTCCGACAAGATGAGAGCCATCATAAGTAAATCCTACCTGGAATCATTTGTATACAATGTGAATAACATACAACTGAATGACCCAACTTGCAGACCAAAAATATCAAACGTGGTGGAATTTTCTATCCCTCTTGATGGATGTGGGACAATCAAAAAGGTAAAGTGAGACACTGAGCCGGGTTTTGCCAAATGCCAGTGGTGCGCTGGACAATGCTGGCAGCAAAATCCTTGCTGGTGGCTTTAACGAGCCACTCCCAAATCTTTATGGCTTGACACATGGCAAGCCTGTGTGAACATTTACATGCACGCACACATTTAAGCACAAGTGCCAAATCAGCACATTTATTTTCAGGGTAATTAGAGGTGGTTCTCTTTCCCAAAAGGTGAAGAACTCTGAAAACTCACTGAAGAACATTTGAACATCTAGATGCTGCGAGTGTAGCAGCCTACCAGTAATACTTGTATAGAAAATGATTAGATCTCACATTTAGCAAAAACCGAGCTGTATTGTCATGATCTTCTTCTTTCCCCTGCAACGGGAGAAGGTCAAAACGTGATCCTTGTTTTAAAGGTGAGGGACAGAAGTTTGTGATTTGTTTTCCATTTTCTAGAACTTCAAGATCTCAGACATTTGCAACCTGTAGGTCCCTTTAGGTTGTATACCCTGAACTTTCCATTCATGTCATTAAACAACAATCTTGTTGAGAAGAATGGCAGCTTACTCCAGAGAATCGATAAGGATAGAAATAAATCATTACCTTCTGCTCCAAATGAACACCTATTATGTGTGCACCCTAGGGAAGGCAGCCTGGGGAAAACCTATTGCAAGACTTCTGTCTGCATACACTTGGGAAGCCGCCCAGTGAGCCACACTAACCTAATGATACTTACGGAAGGAGGCCTCACCTTACAGGGTCTCAGGTCTCTCTAGGGATCGAAGTTTGCGTTCAGAATTGTTTTTAACATAACTGAAAAAAGTTCTGTCTAATTCTGTCTTCAGGTCTTTCTAAGCCAAGCTCTTATCTCTCATCTCAAATGTTTTCTTCCTACCCAGAAGTTTCTTAAATAAAGCATACTGGAGCCTATAGTATCCTGACATGAAAGCGGCTATCTTGTGATTTAAGAAAATTGTGTCTCTACCCACGGATGTTATTCATATCTGTGCTCTAAACTATTACTGGACTTAACATACAACATTTGAATTCCATCTCATTCTGCAGGTAGAAGATCATTCAGTTACTTACACCAATATAATCACTCTTACTCCATCCCCCACGTCTCAAGTGATCACCCGTCAGAAACATCTGCAGATTATTCTGAAGTGTGAAATGGAATCTGATTCTACCGTGGAGATGATGTACATGACAGAAGATGACATAATACAAAATCAAAGCGCACTGGGCAAATATAACACAAGCATGGCTCTTTTTGAATCCAGTTCATTTGAACAGCCTTTCCTGGAGTCACCATATTATGTGGATTTGAACCAAACACTTTTTGTGCAAGTCAGTCTGCACGCCTCAGATCCAGATTTGGTGGTGTTTCTGGATACCTGTAGCGCCTCCCCCACGCCTGCCTTTACATCTCCAACCTATGAGCTAATCAAGAGTGGGTACGTACTGCTGGGTGACATACTTTTCTGAGGATTAATAGTGACTTGAATGAGGTGGTATTTTCGGTGCATGGATACATGATTCATGTATGCATACTGCATAATTTTTTTCTAGTACTGCTACCATGGAATTTCGTAAATGTAATCATTTTATGAAATAGAGTCACTGTGTACTAATTACAAATAAGTTACAGCATTTCTACAACCACAGCCCATATCCACTAGAATTTTTAGTCTATTTCCAAAATATTTGCTGGTAGAAACGAATTTATTTTTTGTCAAGAAGGCTTTATGTTTTTGTTTTTGCCTTTTTTCTCCACATTTTGGTTATTTTCAACAAAATCCCCAAAGATTATTTCACTTGTTCCAGCTCCAGAACACAAACGTAATGGAATTTGTAAGTCTCTATGGAATTCTTTAAAAAAAAACCTAAAAAACCAGTAAAGGGGCGCGTGGCTGATTCAGTCGGTAGAGCATATGACTCTTAATCTTAGGGTCGTGAGTTCAAGCCCTACATTGGGCGTGGAGCCTACTTAAAAAAAAAAAAATTTTAGGGGCGCCTGGGTGGCTCAGTGCGTTGAGCATCTGCCTTCGGCTCAGGTCATGATCCCAGGGTCCTGGGATCGAGCCCCGCATCGGGCTCCCTGCTCTGCGGGAAGCCTGCTTCTCCCTCTCCCACTCCCCCTGCTTGTGTTCCCTCTCTCACTGTGTCTCTCTCTGTCAAATAAATAAATAAAATCTTTAAAAAAAAAAAAAATTTTTTTTTAAGTAGTTTTTTTGGAAAGGAAAGGTCTCCTTTTTTTTCTATAAGCTGATGGACTTTAACTACATCAGCCATACTGACACATTCATAGCAAGTGTAGAAAGTAATGTGTATGGGCTCTAATATATCTGAATTGATTTTCTAATTAATTCACATGAAATAGAAATTTTATTGCTGGAGGGAATTTTATTTTACCCAGGAATCAGATTCATAGCCTTAGCTCACTGTAGTCTGAGCTAAAGACATTGTCTTTCTTTCTTTTTTTTTTTAAATTTTTTTATTCTTATATTATCCCCATACATTACATCATTAGTTTTAGATGTAGTGTTCCATGATTCATTGTTTGTGCATAACACCCAGTGCTCCATGCAGAATGTGCCCTCCTCAATACCCATCACCAGGCCAACCCATCCTCCCCCCACCTCTAGAACCCTCAGTTTGTTTTTCAGAGTCCATCATCTCTCATGGTTCGTCTACCCCTCCGATTTCCCCCCGTTCATTCTTCCCCTCCTGCTACCTTCTTCTTCTTCTTTTTTTTTTCTTAACATATATTGCATTGTTTCAGAGGTACAGATCTGAGATTCAACAGTCTTGCACAATTCACAGCGCTCACCATAGCACATACCCTCCCAGTGTCTATCACCCAGTCACCCCATCCCTCCCACCGCCCCCCACTCCAGCAACCCTCAGTTTGTTTCCTGCGATTAAGAATTCCTCATATCAGTGAGGTCATATGATACGTGTCTTTCTCTGACTTATTTCGCTCAACATAATACCCTCCACTTCCATCCACGTCATTGCAAATGGCAAGATTTCATTCGTTTTGATGGCTGCATAATATTCCATTGTATATATATACCACATCTTCTTTATCCATTCATCTGTCGATGGACATCTTGGCTCTTTCCACAGTTTGGCTATTGTGGACATTGCTGCTATAAACATCGGGGTGCACGTACCCTTTCGGATCCCTACTTTTGTATCTTTGGGGTAAATACCCAGTAGTGCAATTCCTGGATCACATGGTAGCTCTATTTTCAACTTTTTGAGGAACCTCCATACTGTTTTCCAGAGTGGCTGCACCAGCTTGCATTCCCACCAACAGTGTAGGAGGGTTCCCCTTTCTCCGCATCCCCGCCAACATCTGTCGTTTCCTGACTTGTTAATTTTAGCCATTCTGACTGGTGTGAGGTGGTATCTCATTGAGGTTTTGATTTGGATTTCCCTGATGCCGAGCGATGTTGAGCACTTTTTCATGTGTCTGTTGGCCATTTGGATGTCTTCTTTGGGAAAATGTCTGTTCATGTCTTCTGCCCATTTCTTGATTGGATTCTTTGTTCTTTGGGTGTTGAGTTTGATGAGTTCTTTATAGATTTTGGATACCAGTCCTTTATCTGATATGTCATTTGCAAATATCTTCTCCCATTCTGTTGGTTGTCCTTTGGTTTTGTTGACTGTTTCCTTTGCTTTGCAAAAGCTTTTTATCTTGATGAAGTCCCAATAGTTCATTTTTGCCCTTGCTTCCCTTGCCTTTGGCGATGTTTCTAGGAAGAAGTTGCTGCGGCTGAGGTCGAAGAGGTTGCTGCCTGTGTTCTCCTTTAGGATTTTGATGGACTCCTGTCTCACATTGAGGTCTTTCAACCATTTGGAGTCTATTTTTGTGTGTGGTGTAAGGAAATGGTCCAGTTTCATTCTTCTGCATGTGGCTATCCAATTTTCCCAACACCATTTGTTGAAGAGACTGTCTTTTTTCCATTGGACATTCTTTCCTGCTTTGTCGACGATTAGCTGACCATAGAGTTGAGGGTCCATTTCTGGGCTCTCTATTCTGTTCCATTGATCTATGTGCCTGTTTTTGTGCCAGTACCATACTGTCTTGATGATGACAGCTTTGTAATAGAGCTGGAAGTCCGGAATTGTGATGCCGCCAACTTTGCTTTTCTTTTTCAACATTCCTCTGGCTATGCGGGGTCTTTTCTGGTTCCATACAAATTTTAGGATTATTTGTTCCATTTCTTTGAAAAAAGTGGATGGTATTTTGATGGGGATTGCATTGAATGTGTAGATTGCTCTAGGTAGCATGGACATCTTCACAATATTTGTTCTTCCAATCCATGAGCATGGGATGTTTTTCCATTTCTTTGTGTCTTCCTCAATTTCTTTCATGAGTATTTTATAGTTTTCTGAGTACAGATCCTTTGCCTCTTTGGTTAGATTTATTCCTAGGTATCTTATGGTTTCGGGTGCAATTGTAAATGGGATCAACTCCTTAATTTCTCTTTCTTCTGTCTTGTTGTTGGTGTATAGGAATGCCACTGACTTCTGTGCATTGATTTTATATCCTGCCACTTTACTGAATTCCTGTATGAGTTCTAGCAGTTTTGGGGTGGAGTCTTTGGGGTTTTCCACATAAAGTATCATACCATCTGCAAAGAGTGAGAGTTTGACTTCTTCTTTGCCGATTTGGATGCCTTTGATTTCTTTTTGTTGTCTGATTGCTGTGGCTAGGATTTCTAATACTATGTTGAATAGCAGTGGTGATAGTGGACATCCCTGCCGCGTTCCTGACCTTAGGGGGAAAGCTCTCAGTTTTTCCCCATTGAGAATGATGTTCGCTGTAGGTTTTTTATAGATGGCTTTTATGATATTGAGGTATGTAACCTCTATGCCTATACTCTGAAGAGTTTTGATCAAGAAAGGATGCTGTACTTTGTCAAATGCTTTTTCTGCATCTATTGAGAGGATCATATGATTCTTGTTCTTTCTTTTGTTAATGTATTGTATCACGTTGATTGATTTGTGGATGTTGAACCAACCTTGCAGCCCAGGGATCAATCCCACTTGGTCGTGGTGAATAATCCTTTTAATGTACTGTTGGATCCTATTGGCTAGTATTTTGGTGAGAATTTTTGCATCCATGTTCATCAGGGATATTGGTCTGTAATTCTCCTTTTTGATGGGGTCTTTGTCTGGTTTTGGGATCAAGGTAATGCTGGCCTCATAAAATGAGTTTGGAAGTTTTCCTTCCATTTCTATTTTTTGGAACAGTTTCAGAAGAGTAGGTATTAATTCTTCTTGAAATGTTTGGTAGAATTCCCCTGGGAAGCCATCTGGCCCTGGGCTTTTGTTTGTTGGGAGATTTTTGATGACTGCTTCAATTTCCTTAGTGGTTATAAGTCTGTTCAGGTTTTCTATTTCTTCCTGGTTCAGTTTTGGTAGTTGATACATCTCTAGGAATGCATCCATTTCTTCCAGATTATCTAATTTGCTGGCATAGAGTTGCTCATAATATGTTCTTATAATTGTTTGTATTTCTTAGGTGTTAGTTGTGATCTCTCCTCTTTCATTCATGATTTTGTTGATTTGGGTCATTTCTCTTTTCTTTTTGATAAGTCTGGCCAGGGGTTTATCAATCTTGTTAATTCTTTCAAAGAACCAGCTCCTAGTTTCGTTGATCTGTTCTACTGTTCTTTTAGTTTCTATTTCATTGATTTCTGCTCTGATCTTTATTATTTCTCTTCTCCTGCTGGGTTTAGGTTTTATTTGCTGTTCTTTCTCCAGCTCCTTTAGGTGTAGGGTTAGGTTGTGTACTTGAGACCTTTCTTGTTTCTTGAGAAAGGCTTGTATTGCTATATACTTTCCTCTTAGGACTGCCTTTGCTGCATCCCAAAGATTTTGAATAGTTGTGTTTTCATTTTCATTGGTTTCCATGAATTTTTTAAATTCTTCTTTAATTTCCTGGTTGACCCATTCATTCTTCAGTAGGAAGCTCTTTAGCCTCCATGTATTTGAGTTCTTTCTGACTTTCCTCTTGTGATTGAGTTCTAGTTTCAAAGCATCGTGGTCTGAAAATAGGCAGGGAATGATCCCAATCTTTTGGTACCGGTTGAGACCTGATTTATGACCTAGGATGTGATCGATTCTGGAGAATGTTCCATGGGCACTAGAGAAGAATGTGTATTCCATTGCTTTGGGATGCAATGTTCTGAATATGTCTGTGAAGTCCATTTGGTCCAGTGTGTCATTTAAAGTCTTTATTTCCTTGTTGATCTTTTGCTTAGACGATCTGTCCATTTCAGTGAGGGGGGTGTTAAAGTCCCCCACTATTATTGTGTTGTTGTCGATGTGTTTCTTTGCTTTTGTTATTAATTGCCTTATATAATTGGCTGCTCCCATGTTAGGGGCATAGATATTTACAATTGTTACATCTTCTTGTTGGATAGACCCTTTAAGTAGGATATAGTGTCCTTCCTCATCTCTTATTACAGTCTTTGGTTTAAAATGTAATTTGTCTGATATAAGGATTGCCACCCCAGCTTTCTTTTGGTGTCCATTAGCATGGTAAATGGTTTTCCACCCCCTCACTTTCAATCTGGGGGTGTCTTTGGGTCTAAAATGAGTCTCTTGCAGACAGCATATCGATGGGTCTTGTTTTTTAATCCAATCTGATAGCCTGTGTCTTTTGATTGGGGCATTTAGCCCATTTACATTCAGGGTAACTATTGAAAGATAGGAATTTAGTGCCATTGTATTGCCTGTAAGGTGACTGTTACTGTATATTGTCTGTGTTCCTTTCTGGTCTATGTTGCTTTTAGGATCTGTCTTTGCTTAGAGGACCCCTTTCAAGATTTCTTGTAGGGCTGGTTTTGTGTTTGCAAATTCCTTTAGTTTTTGTTTGTCCTGGAAGCTTTTTATCTCTCCTTCTATTTTCAATGACAGCCTAGCTGGATATAGTATTCTTGGCTGCATATTTTTCTCATTTAGTGCTCTGAATATATCCTGCCAGTCCTTTCTGGTCTGCCAGGTCTCTGTGGATAGGTCTGTTGCCAATCTAATGTTTCTACCATTGTAGGTTACATATCTCTTCTCCCGAGCTGCTTTCAGGATTTTCTCTTTGTCTATGAGACTCGTAAGTTTTACTATTAGATGTCAGGGTGTTGACCTATTTTTATTGATTTTGAGGGGGGTTCTCTGTGCCTCCTGGATTTTGATGCCTGTTTCCTTCCCCAAATTAGGGAAGTTCTCTGCTATAATTTGCTCCATTATACCTTCTGCCCCTCTCTCTCTTTCTTCTTCTTCTGGGATCCCAATTATTCTAATGTTGTTTCGTCTTATGGTGTATCGCTTATCTCTCGAATTCTCCCCTCGTGATCCAGTAGTTGTTTATCTCTCTTTTTCTCAGCTTCTTTATTTTCCATCATTTGGTCTTCTATATCACTGATTCTCTCTTCTGCCTCATTTATCCTAGCAGTTAGTGCCCCCATATTTGATTGCACCTCATTAATAGCCTTTTTGATTTCAACTTGGTTAGATTTTAGTTCTTTTACTTCTCCAGAAAGGGTTTCTCTAATAACTTCCATGCTTTTCTCAAGCCCAGCTAGTATCTTTAAAGTGATGATTCTGAACTCTAGATCTGACATTGTACTAATGTCCATATTGAGTAGGTCCCTGGCAGTCGGTACTACCTCTTGTTCTTTTTTTTGAGGTGATTTTTTCCGTCTTGTCATTTTGTGCAGAGGAGAATAGATTAATGAGAGAACAAAATGCTAGGAGAGTAACAACATCTCCAGAAAATATACTCTAAACAAATCAGAAAAGACCTGAAGTAGCGGGAAAAGAAAGGGAAAGAGAGAAAAAAGAAAAAGAAAAAAAAAAAGAAAAAGATAAAGATAAAAACAAACAAAAACAGAACAAAACAAAACAACAACAACAAAAAACCAGAATGTGATCAAATATGATCTATATGGTATATAGATCAGTGCCACACACTAGATTTTGGGTGTATTTTGGTCTGTTAGAAGAACGTGCCTCCCAAAATTTTAAAGAAAGAAAAACTTATATATATACAAAAATAAGGGTTGATATGATGAAGGGATGGAATATGACTGTAAAGATGGAAAGTATAAAAAATTTTATAAAAGGAATTGATAAGAAGTTGTTTGAAAAAAGAAAGGATTTAAAAAAAGAAAAAAAAAGGGAGAGAATGTGGTCAGGCAGGGGAGTAGAAAAAAAGCCATATACTAGAGATTTAGGGTATATTTTGATCTGTTAGAAGAAACTATCTCAAATTTTTAAAGAGAGAACAACTTATATATATATATGCCAAAAATACGGGTAACTACTATGAAGGGATAGAATATGACTCTAAAAATGAAAAATAAAAATGTTTTTTAAAAAAGGAATTGATAAAATGTTGGTTGAAAAAGGGAAAAAGAAAAATTCAAAAAAACCCCCCAAAAAACAGTTTAAAAAAATTAACTTTGAAAGACTAAAGAATCATGGTAAAAACGCCGTGAATTCTATGTGCAGTATTCCCCTAGCGCTGGAGTTCTGCCGTTCTCATTGATCGGTAAACTTGGTCTTGGCCGGCTGTTCTCGCTGATCTTCTGGGGAGGAGCCTGTTGCCGTGGTTTCCAAATGTCTCTGCCGGAGGCGGAAGTGCCCCACCCTTGCCCCCTCCCGGCTAAGTCATCTGCTCGGGTTTGCTCTCCGGGCTTTTGTTCCCTGCGAGCTTTCCGTCCAGCTTTGGAGGCCGAGAGTGAACATGGCGGCCTCCCAATCTCCGACCCGGAGGAGCCGAGAACTCGGGCCTGCTCCTCAGTGCGCCCCCAGAGAAAAGCCGCCAGTCACTCCCGTCTCCCAGTCTCCGGCCGCACTCCGTGCTCACCCTGCCTGTGACCGCGCGCCTCTATCTCTGGCACCAAACCCCGGGTGGAGTCTCCCAACCCAGCCGATCCCTGCGGTGCCCTCCCGCGCGGCTCCTCCCGGGGGAGGAAGGTGAGTCTCCCCGGATCTGCCGCTTGTTGGGTCCCTGCTGGAGGAGCAGGGGCCCGACTGGGCCGCGGATCCCGGTCAATGGCAGCCCTGAGCTGAGAGCCCGCGCCTGGGCTCCGCCTCTGCAGCCGCCTTCCCCGCTCCGATCCCTGGGAGCTCTGCCACACTCAGGCACCCCGGTCTTTCTGTGACCCCGAGGGTCCCGAGACCACACTGTCCCCGAGGGTTCCACCCCCCGCTTAGCCACCGGAGTGACGTCCCTCGGCGGAGCAGACTTTTAAAAGTTCCGATTCTGTGCTCCGTGGTTCTATCACTTGCCAGAAGCGGCCGACGGAGGCCCCTCCCCCGCCGTCTATCCTCCCGAATATCGCCTCGGATTCACTTCTCCGCACGTCCTACCTTCCAGAAAGTGGTCGCTTTTCTGATGAGAGAGTTGTTGCTCTTCTTTTCTTCGATCTCCTGTTGAGTTTGTAGGTGTTCAGAATGGTTTGATCCCTATCCAGCTGAATTCCTGAGAGGAGACGAAATCCAGGTCTCCTAGTCCTCCGCCTTCTTGCTCCGCCCCCTCTTTCTTTTTTTTTTAAGTAATTTTTTTCCTCTCTAAATTTTTATTTAAATTCTAGTTAGTTAACATATAGTGTAATATCGGTTTCAGGAGTAGAATTTAGCGATTCATCACTTACACAATGCACCTGATCTCATCTGATCTCAGAAGCTAAGCAGGTCCAGGCCTAGTTTGTACTTGGATGGAAGACATTTTTTTCTAGAGAACGTTTTGGCCCACGAATCACACCATTCAAAGAAAACTTTGTATCCTCTCTTTTCAATATTGAAAAGACCAAACTGTGAATTTTCTAAATGTGCCATAAATTCTGTTACAGATGTAATCAAGATGAGACTTGTAAGATGTATCCCTTATCTGGACACTATGGAAGATTCCAATTTAATGCCTTTAAATTCTTGAGAAGTCTGGGCTCCGTATATCTGCAGTGTAAGATTTTGATATGTGATCATAGTGACCCTCAGTCTCGCTGCAACCAGGGCTGTGTCTCTCGAAGGAAACGAGACATTTCTTCATACAAATGGAAGACTGATTCTGTCATAGGACCTATTCGTCTGAAAAGGGATCGAAGTGCAAGTGGAAATCCAGGTAAGAAAAAAAGCTATTTCATGATCTAAGAACACCTCATGGTTCATTAAATTCTGCTCAAATGTATTCCTTCTTAAGCATGTACAGTTTAGAGATTTATGATATTTGTAACAAAGCCCTAAATAAGGTGAGCACACAAGATTAATTTTTCTTTCTATTAGTTGATAAAATGAAAACCATGTACCTTTTAAGCATATGATGCACTGATAATTCACCATTATTCGCATGGCTTTTGAGTATAGATGTAATGTCCTCACTTCTAAAAACAATAGTTTCTCTTAGCTTCCTGACTTATAGACACACCATGGCAGATAACAGAATCAAAAGCAATGTATTTTAATTCCTAAATGAGTAAAATCAGATGAACCAGCGTCTCACACAAATCACCTTTTGGGGGAAAAAAAGCAACTTTTTCTAAAACAGAGAAAATACTATATTTTCAACACAGCCCCGCTTCTTTTTTAAAGGTTGGAAAAATGAGCCCTGCCATGTCCCATAACAGAGTGATAGCGAATGCCCAAGGACAAGCCACGGCTGAATGGCTTCGATAGACTATAATTACATGGAAACTGTTTATAAGAATTTATCTCATATGAAAATGACCCTGGCATAAGAGAATCTTATGACCTCTGTCTTTATTATTATTTGAATGGTTTGGGAAGGAGTAGGAGTCTAGTTTGTAGCAAAATATTTCTATGACAAAAACAAAAGAACACAAACAAAAATTAAATCCAGTAATTTTATAAACATAGTCACTAAAAAGATGATGCATCTATGGATATTAGTCTAAATTAGTTGAAAATTTGTGAACGAAAGTTATAGAAATATCATGCACATTAGAAGAGTACCCTTTTCCTGTTTGAAGAGAAGAAACTAGTTGTTTCTCCATCGATCAAATATATTTTGGTGACTATGGGAGATAGTGACTATCAATAGATGAACCTGCAGTTGTTTGATTTTGATACTTGAATTCCACAAGTTTCTCACCTTATGTCAGGGAAACAAATTAACTATTTAAACAAACAAATGTAAGGACATCTTGGCTTTTAAATTAAACAGAAACATAAACTAATTGAAATAGTTGCTAGCAGTTCCTGTATGTTGTTTTGGCATTAAATAGCATATATTCATTGATGCCTAAGATTTGTAGGCTATGGAGAGATACACATTCATGAAAATTTTGTAATGCCAAGTGATACTTTTCTTTAAATGATTTTTGTCTGGTTTCCAATTATAGGATTTCAGGATCAAATACACAGAGAAGAAACTCAGAATCAACCTTTCGACAGTCTGCATCTGTTTTCATTCATGGTCCTTGCTCTGAATGTCGTGATTCTGGTGGTGATCATAGCGAGGCATTTTGTGAATCAGGGAACAGACTACAGATACCAGAAGCTTCAGAATATTAACTAACCGGTTCAGCCTTCAGTGAGACACATTTCTCCCGAATGCCAAAGGAAATGCTGCCTCATGGCTACACATTATGAATAAATTAGGGAGAACCCCATAAAAATGACACACAGGTCCTGCTGTCACCATGTTCAGAGTGTGCTGTCTTGCAGGGGTGATTGAAATGAACAAACATTATGTCCGTGCTAAAGAACTGAAGCCACCAACATATTAAATGAATTAGAAATGTCCTTTGTCACAAGCGTGAAACATTCTCAGTAAACATTAGGTGAAAAGAAGAAGGTTGTTTTTACTTAAATCTTCAACATTAGATGTATTGGTTTCCTAGATGCAAATAGGCTACCTTTTGAAACATATACAAGGGTTATAGTTGCTGAAACTAAGTGTGATGGAGAGAATTGCCATCTTGTTTATTCACTATAATGCAGAGCTTTAGCATTTTACAACTTACATCTCAGAAAGGGCTTTGGAAAGAAGAAAGCTATTTCATGATCTAAGAACAGGGAAGAAGAACCTGACTATAAAAGGAGAGCCTTCTGTATAGTTTCTAGGTTAATGAATGAAAACAACAATTCTCCTCCCATTTACCATCAAACACCAAAGCCAAATGTAATCCTAACAAGGAGTAGTCCGTTCTGACTGGCACTTTCCTATCTACGGTATCAAGGGCCTCGATGGGCACTAATCTTACCCATACCAAACATCATATTGAATTCTTTGTCTTAGATGGACAATACAACTCTACCCCATCACCCAACACCACCACGGATGTATATCAGGTTCTGATATATGAGGCAACCACATTTCTGAATGCCCAAGAATGTCCCAGATGCATGGATTGGCTACACAGTGTGCCCAGGGAGTATGCCACGAGTAAGACAGCATCTCTGCCCTCATCAGACAAGTTGTTAGGGGCCTGCTGGCTTTCCAGCTCCAAATGAAAACAGATCTTCCCCATTTTCTTTTCAATATTTCCATGTGGATCTTCCAAGCACTTGCCCCAAGTGGCCATGCAGTTGAGTCCCCTCCCTATTCATCTGTATGACTAAAGGGAGCTACTGCAAAGCTCTTCTCTAACCGAACGTGAAAGCACTTAAGAACGTAATTAGAATGGGCAAATCAAATTCAGTCGACAGCATTTAAAAACTGCCTGGTCCCTGGCCCACCCGCCGTCTTTCTGCCAGGAGCTGGCTGAGCCTGTGCGGGCGGCCGGGCGTGGGGGCTGCTCAGAGGCACGCCAGGCACGACAGTGTAACACCAAGAAGACTGTCACATAGTGTGGCTCAGGAGACAGTGTAAAACTACATCACCATGAGTCAGAAAACCCTTCGCAGTGCAGCTATCGAGTTATACCAATGCATCGGAGCTATCAAATAATACACAGCAGAAAGGTTTTTTTCTGCAGGAGAAACTGCAGTAAAGTAAGTAAAGGTCTGGAGTTGGTGGCCTGGGCTTTAGTCCTTCCACTTACCTGGTGGGTTACGTTGGCCAGGTCACCTTCAGCCTTGATCTCCACAATTTAAAACGGGGAAGGTAGCAACTGCCCCCCCTCCCCTCGCCAAGTGTTGAGGTTGTGAGGATTAAATGAGGAAATGGGCTGCGGTCAGGGGCTACCTGTGTTCCACTCGCTGCTGGTGATGAGTCCCCACGGGCAGCCCCCAAGTTCTGTTTGAGAATTACTGCTCCCTCAGACCATACCTGGTACTGACTGTCATGCATTGGGTCCCGGGAGGAAACCTCTGGTAGAGAGGTTTGTGGGCAGAAGGATTCCTGGGGTGTGTGCCTAGACCCCAGCCCTGGAAGGGGGGAGGGAAGCAGGCCTGGGCAGGGGGTGGTGACCGGTGAAGCGGTGACAGCAAAAAGCCCGGCCACCCCCTGGAGCCCTTCAGAGATGCCCCCACACTGGGGCGTGGTGTCCTGGCCACATGAGTGCCTCTACCGACCAGGCATCGGTTGAAGGCTGCAAACGTGCACAGGGCAGCTGCCTTGAGCTGAGGGCATCCCTACAGAGCGGAGATGTGGGCGTCACACCAGAGCGGTCATCATGCTCACTTCCCAGAAGTGCAGGATTTTCAGAAAGTCTCACGGTGTTCAACTCTGACTCCATGTGGTATTCAAGAGACATTTTTTTTTTTTAAGATTTTATTTATTTATTTAAGAGAAAGAGAGAGAGGGCATGAGGGAGAGGGGGGGAGGGAGAAGCAGATTCCCCGCCGAGCAGGGAGCCCAAGGCAGGCTCGATCCCAGGACCCCGAGATCACAATCTGCGCTGAAGGCAGATGCTTAACCGACTGAGCCGCCCATGCGCCCCTTAAGAGACATGTTTAACGAAGCATTTCAGCAAGGCTAAAAGCAAAATGGGCAATGGAGTACCAGCATGTTCGAACAAGATGGGAGGGTCACCTCATTTCTACTGAGCAGGGTGGAAGCCAGGCTACCCTCGTGGCCTCTGCTGTCCCTCCTCCTGGGAAGGTGGAGTCACCTCGTTACCTCTGGGTTGGGGGGGTAGAGGTCTTGGCTCTCTACGAGGTCTCCTCTGACACCATCCCAGAGTAGTCTCAAAGGGGTGGCTTATACCTGCCCACTGGGGTTGGAGGCCCAGGCTCCCTACCTGGTCTCCACCTGACATGGGGGTTGTTGGGGAGGCCCCGGTTACTGCGCAGAGGTGATAGCACCCTGGGGAGGGGAAGGAAGATGGAAGGGATCCTGGGGGCAGGTGGAAGTCTAGGCTCCCACTTCACCTTTGTTGGCTGGGCTGGAGGTAGGGCCACAGTTTTACCCATGGCTCATGGTCTCGCCTGGCTTTACCCGTCCTTTGGCTAGAGAGGGCAGGCTTCTCTTGGGGCTTTTTTTGTCTCCACCCATTGGTGTTTCTGGATTGCAGGTTTCTCCCTGTTAAGTGCGTTTTGATCCATAAAGCATGGAATGCTCAGCAGCAGCCATGGCGTTCACACTTCAACGTTCCTCAGAATCACCTGGAGTGCTACTGGAAAGGGCAGCTTCCTGGCTCCCATGTGCTGAACTGCACCCGGAGAAGCTCCCTGGAAGTTCACTGGACACTTATTTATTTATTCTTAAAAGGTCAGTCCTTTCCTTGTCAACACTTTTCACGTTAGGCGTTTGTTAAAAGCCATAAGATTCTAACTTTGGAAGCTGTTAGCCTCCCACTTCCTCAACACATATGGGATAGATGCAGTTAATGGGTAGATAAGCTTCGGAAAGGAGAAGCTCTAGCAGCTCAGAGCTCCTTGGAAAACTCCTTAATTCATCTGAGGCATTCCTGTGAAATAGATGCCCGATGCTCAAATCATGTGACTGAAGATGAAGGTACTTGGTGACAAATGATTAACTTTTGATTTAAAGATGCTGTCTTCACCAGATGACCAGCAACTATATTTCATCAACTTCTACCAGGTATAAACAGAGAACACCATCAAAATACCCATCAGCATCCTATTTTTATCAAGATGGCTATTGATGAAGGTCATGTTTGACATGAGACAGATGTTCCCCTTTAGGGGCAATGCCCACCCTCGGGTCATGTGTCAGATTTTCATCTCTTAGGACTTCAGGGTTAGCTCTCAGGCTCCCCAAAACCCTGTCCTCCTCCCTGGGAGACTTGATCATACTGTATTCTCATCTCATGCATGCTCTTAAATGACAGAGATGGGAACAATTTCTTGGACTTGAGAACTCATATTTTAAATGTTACTATTGAATATTTCTTGACAAGCAAAAAAAAAAAAAAAACCTGACTATGTCCAAGACTCTTTCTTTCTTCTTTCTTCTTTCCTCCTTTCTTTCTTTCCTCCTTTCTTTCTTTCCTTCTTTCTTTCTTTCCTTCTTTCTTTCTTTCTTTCTTTCTTTTTTTCTTTTTCTTTCTTTCTTTCTTTCTTTCTTTCTTTCTTTCTTTCTTTCTTTCTTTCTTTCTTTCTCTTTCTTTCTTTCTTTTCCTTCCTTCCTTCCTTCCTTCCTTCCTTCCTTCCTTCCTTCCTTCCTTCCTTCCTTCCTTCCTTCCTTCCCTTTCTTTCTTTCTTGAGAGAATCTTAAGCAGGCTCCATGTCCAGCGCAGAGGACTTACACAACCCTGAGATTATGACGTGAGTTGAAATCAAAAGTTGGGTGCTTAACCAACTGAGCCACCCAGGCGCCCCAAGACAGTTTCTTTAAAGATAGCTTTGAGATAACCGAGTGCAGCCCAGGCCTCTTCCTGTTAAGATACAAAGAGAACTTGGATAAAGTGGGTGCTGCCCGCCTTTTCTATGAGGGTGTGGGATATGTGAACCTTCCTTTCTGTGTTCCTCAGGTTTCCTGTGTACTTCCCAGGTTTCCTATAAAGCTTGGAGGATCTGGGACACAGACTGAGTGTGTGGTAGCTCAGAAAACAGTCCCACAATTGTGTCTCCAACTCTCATTTGCCGTCAATGTCAAAGCTGTCACCCAAACCCAACAAAGCAGAGGCACGATGTGTTCCCTCTGAAACAGGCAAGAAGAGCTTGTTTTGAGTAAGTGACAATGAGTAAATGAGCAAATGACATGTTCAATTCAACTAACCAGTTATTAGGGTTTAAAACAAAAAAGAACAGTGACTTCCCAACACTTGGTTTATTTTTCATAAGACTCTTTGCAAGATCTGAAAAGAAATTCTCACACCACCCAAAGGACAGAAACAAAAAGATCCATTTACTAGCATATGAATGTTAAGGAGTCAATTAAACAAAATCTTTAAATTATCAATCTGGTATATAGAGAGAACTCTGTTCTTTAGAACATGTACAGTTGAAGACAATGATCAAGTTCTTGGAAGTGAAGAATTAGAAAACATAGCATCTCCAGCCTGCAAAGTGACTGCCTTACAACTTTAATAATCAGAGAAGGTTTATGTAGCAACAAACCTCAGAGGGAACCTCCTTAGCTGTTTCTTCTACCTGTCACTCTGGGGACAACTTCTGATTTGTCAAACTTACGACTTTGCTGCAGGGAAATAGGCTTTGCTTTCTAATGACAGATTCGTGTGAAAAGTGGAGAAATCACACAAGGGTCTTACTCCAACCAGTCCCTCTGTGGATTTCCAGTGGCCCCACCACTTGGAAATGTTCAGTCTGCTCTCCTGGGGTCTCCACAGGGCCTGCATCCCTCCTCCGCCGCTCTACACAGCCCTGGGAGCCGTGGGAAGAGTGGTCCCCCACTTTGCACACAGCGACCTCACACTGCAGGTAGACGACATCATAGTTGCTGAGAAAGTTGAAGGCGTTGAACTTGAACTGGGCCGTGTTCTTCTGCTGGGAGTGCAGGTTGACGTAAGTATTGTCTTTGATGCACCTGATAGAAGAAAAACCCTCAGCCACAAGGATTAACTTGAAGTATGGTGGGAATTCACTCTGACTGGAATAATCAGACTGATGAATTCCAAACAGAGTTCTTCCCACTACCCACTCTTTCTTTTATAAACTTAAAACACTACCATGAGTAGAAAAACCACTGTTCCTGAGCAGAAATAGAAGGTAATAGTAAAATAACCATAATAAAAAACGAACAAGGTAATTAAATTCTAGCTAGAGCTGTTGCCTTCTGAAGGCCTACTCTGTTTTGCCCAAAGGGGAGAGTAAAGGTAGTGGTTGTATTATTTGAAGGTGAAACTTAGATTATTTTAAAATGTGTTAGTCGGGGTGCCTGGGTGGCTCAGTCAGTTAAGCATCTGCCTTTGGCTCAGGTCATGATCCCGGGGTCCTGGGATTGAGCCCCAAATCAGGCTCTCTGCTCAGCGGGGAGCTTCCTTCTCCCTCTCCCTCTGCTGCTCCCCTGCTTGTGCTCTCTCTCTCTCTCTCTGTCAAATAAATAAATAAAATCTGTTTAAAAAATGTGTTTTGTCAATCCTAACATAACTATGGAAAAAGTTAAGGAAAGAAGTATAAATGATCCATCAAGAGAGGAGATAAAACAGAATAATATAAAATGTTCCATTAAAACCAGAGAAGGCAGCAAAAGGAGAGTGGGGGTAGAAACAAAGAAAAAATTCAACAAATAGAAAACAGTTACCAAGATGGTAGATTTTCATCCAACTATATCCATAATCACTTTATTTTAAAAAAATATTTATGTATTTATTTGAGAGAGAGAGAGAGAGAGAGAATGAGAGTGTGAGCTGGGGGAAGAGGGAGAGAGAGAATCTTAAGCAGGCTCCATGCTCAGTGTGGAGTGCAATGTGAGGTTCAGTCTTATGACCCTGAGATCATGGCCTGAGCTGAAATCAAGAGTTTGATGCTTAACCCATTGAGCTACCTAGGTGCCCCTCAATAATCACTTTAAGTGTGAGTGTTCTAAATATGCCAATTTAAAGATACAGACTGCCAGAGTAGATAAAATGAAAACAACAACAAG